CCCTCCAGCAGATCAACACTTCCACCCAACTTGGTGTCATCTGTAAACTTACTGAGGGCACACTCAATCCCCTCATCCAGATCATCAGTGAAGATATTGAACAGGACTGGCCCCAACACTGAGCCCTGGGGAACACCACTCGTGACCGGCCGCCAGCTGGATTTGACTCCATTCACCACCACTCTCTGGGCTCGGCCGTCCAGCCAGCTTTTTACCTAGCAAAGAGTGCACTTATCCAAGCCATGAGCAGCCAGCTTCTCTGGGAGAATGCTGTGGGAGACAGTGTCAAACGCCTTACTAAAGTCCAAGTAGACAACATCCACAGCCTTCCCCTCATCCACTAAGTGGGTCACCTTGTCATAGAAGGAGATCAGGTTAGTGAGGCAGGACCTCCCTTTCATAAACCCATGCTGGCTGAGCCTGATCCCCCGGTTGTCCCGCACGTGCTGCGTAATGGTACTCAAGATGATCTGTTTCATGACCTTCCCTGGCACCGAGCTCAAGCTGACAGGCCTGTAGTTCCCTGGATGCTCCTTCCGACGCTTCTTGTAAAGGGGCAGCACCTTTGCTAGCTTCCAGTCATCTGGGACCTCTGCAGTTGACCAGGACTGCTAATAAATGATGGAGAGTGGCTTGGCAGGCTCCTCTGGAGCTTATAGTAGTTAATAGTTACACTGGAAATACTTTTAAATGGGATGTTTTAATTAACTTCTGAAGTTACAAGACAAAAGGAGAAGAAAGAAAAAAAAAAAAGGTTGAAATGTGCTGACTCAGCTTCCAGATAAGAAAAATGTGACCATCAGTGGTTGGGTCATTTTGCCTCTGCCTTAAAATAAGAGAAATCAAGCAAAGAGAGTGGCAGCAACAGCTGGAACCACGTGCGTGTGTCCAAACACAACTTATTCATAAAATTCGAGGAAAGCACAGCACAGCTGCAGAGCAATTATGAAAAAAAGAAAAAAATAAATCCACAAATCCTTCAGAACTGATGAATAACGATGCCACCAAGGAAATCAGATCTGTCAGTGGAGTTAGAAACACTCAAGCTTAACAAGTGCTTTTTTTAGAGAATGAATCTTTACATTATAAATTTTAGTTGCTATGGATGCTGGTTTTTACTTCTGATATTTCTTCCTTCCTGATTACTGGAATACTTCCTCCTAAAAAAATCTCCACAATTTTAAATCTGCTTAAATTCTGTTAATCCAGAACATGCTTTCTTTAAAATATGAACACTGGAAAGCTAGCTGACACCTCTAAAGAAGTATGGTGGGTGAGTGAATATACCCATGTCCAAAGCAGCCAAACTCACAAGTATATTGCACTTTTTAAAATTCAGAAGCTGCCACCTACTCTCCATTTTCTTCAGTCTGAACATTGCCAGAATCGCAGTATCTGTCGTTCTTCATCTTTATCACATATAAATTCAGCAGAAATGCTCTTCTGCACCCTTTTCAGACAGTGAGCTGAAGCACAGAGAAACTATCTATGATCCAAGAAAAGACTTAATTCAGGTTGCCTAATCCACATCAGCCAAAACTAGCGAAAAAGCAGTAACCAGGCAGTAACTTCGTTAGGAGCTGAAGTTTCAAGCGTAAGCTATCACCATTCTTACTTTAATTCCTATTAGGCAAGCTAAGAACAGGCTCTTCCTTCCTCTTGCCCCTCAACACAGACTTGCCTTTGATGACCTGTGAAGACCTACTTGTCTGAAGCCACACAAGAACATTAGGTTGCATCACCGAAAGCAACCCAGGCTGGCATTCTGTCAGCCAAGACAGCCTTCCACAGGGCCAGTTTAGTTCCCGTTTTAATGCATAAACTTTTGAACTATTTCTGGCCAGTGCAGAGCATCTGCAATTAGGGCAGACTGCTTCAAGCTCCATTTCCAATACCCACTGGTGAAAAACAAGGAAAGGCTTCTCCTGGAATTTACACTCGGAACAGTTTTATGGCTGTTGGGAGACGAAGAATGTCCTTAGGGCAACATGCCAGTCCATCAGGCAAAAGGACTGAACTCCCAGTCTGAGGAAAAGGTAGATGCACCTACATTCAGCTTGGCCGCTGGCAGTCAAGTCAATTCACTTGGAGCCAGATGTGTGCAGGAGACAAAGCTCATGTTAACTACTGTGTAGGTACACAGAAGTTTATCAGTGAAAATTAACTTTTTAAAATTAGCAGTCAGTTATGCTGTAGCAAACATTAAATTTTGCTATTGCAGTAAATTTATGTTCTTAGGAAAGAAATGTGTAAAACATTTAGTAGTTGTGATCAACACAGTAAGTTTCTATATAAGTGCATTTGTAACGTATAAAAGCAATTATTAAGTACTATAAATACCTACGTATCATCTCATCATGCATTTCGTACTGTATAAATAAACATTCACTGGTTACCATAGAAATAAGGTAGCAGTAAACACTACTGGAGTCCAGTGGTTATGGTTATGCTAGACTTCATTATTAAATTTTTTCTTAAAAAAAAAAAAAAAAAAGAACTGGTTCTGAAAGAAGCACTGATGACACGAATTAACATGCATAAAAACCTCCTTGCTCTTAAGCATTTCAGGAATCATTTACATAGCAAAAAAAATAAGAATTTTATTCATGAAAGAGTTAAGGAAGACCTTTAGAGCAAAGGTCTACTTGGTTGGCCATATATGAAATTGTTAAATGGAAAAAATAAATAGCATGGACAGAATAATTTACCTTTTCACCTTCTTCACCTTTACTACCTGCAAAGCCACGTTCACCCTGGAATAGAAAACAATAAAATAAAAATCTCAAACAAACAGTCTTCAAATAATTACATTCTTTAAAATAGTTTTATTGCACTGAATTTTTATTATGGGATTAAAACAGAAAAAATCATTTGGATACTGATTGTCTCTCATTCAAAAACGTGTGAAACCTCTACAAAAAAATGACACAGTTTTCCACAGTTTTGTCGGTTAACAGTAGTCAATCTTTCTTCCATTCAGCCTAAGGGTCGTCTTGGCTTTAAAAATTCTAAACTATTCATTGATGCCAAACCCGCTATTCTTCTGTAGAACCAGTTTTAACACATTTATCCCTATTAGCACCTTCATTTTAATTTTTAAATATGACTAGTCAGCTGTGAAGGCCTCCAAAACCCGGAACAATTGAGAAAAATATACAGATACAATTTACTGAAAGAAAACTCATTCCTTTCACTCTGAAAGCCACATCCAATTACCCAAGTATTAGAAAAAAAACAGGAGTGAGTTTTGAAATATTAATTCAATCTCAGCTTATTTCAGCAAATTGAATTCTTTATTTGATCATCTTTTAATAGAGACCTGTAATAATGCTCTTCCAGCTCCAACTTGATAACTTTTAGCTCAGAAAAAGATCTTAATGTACTATCTTACTATGTTAATGCCCCTGTCAAATAGTCTGCAGCCTGCCTATATTAACAAGAACACCCGGTTTAGACCTTTATTAATGTATACTTGTATGTTTTGTGAGACATACAGCAGACATACAGCCAAAATTCTATACTTGTAGCACAAAAACTACCTAATACCCCCCCCCCCCCCCAAACATTCTTTTTCTCCCTCATCTAGGAGGAGATGGTTTGCATGTCTTTGCCAGTCTCACTGCCTCAGTACAATGTACGTGATTTTTACAGTTCTGAAGATGAAGAGACTGGAAAATTTCCAAAGTAAAGCATATGGTATTTTCTAAGTTACTTTCAAAAAATTAGAATAAGCAATGTCTAAACATTCTTTCACCCTTCAGAGAGTGTAATTTCCTTCTATAGAAGTCTAAGGTTTAAGTGAGGTTAACTAGAATAGCAGGCTACAACTCGCAAAATTTCTAGCAGCATTTTGTCAAATCTTTCAACAGATGTAGCATCATCTACTACACATCTGGGAATTAAATTCAAAGCTTTGGAGATGTGCAGGTGTATAGACTATCAAATAGTTCTGGACTTTTCATCAACCACCTACAGTGGCTGCTTTCTGTTTGCTTTCTTTTGGCTGGGGTGGCTCATACAATCAACAGCTTAGGGGTCAATTTTAGAAGCATGTCCAAGACCAAGCATGCAAAATCGGATCTAGCGAAATAACCTTCCGTATGTCCTCACCTAAAAATGAGTGGTTAATTACTGAAATTATTTCTGAATCTATGCAACTTCTCTTCTGCTCATCTAGTTTCCCTTTCTCACGAAAGGTTGGACCAGGAGATCTTTCGATGTCCCTTCCAGCCTGGGTTGTTCTATGATTCTATGATTCCCATTCTTCTCCAACTGTTGGAGATACAACACAGCTAACGCCTATTCACTTTTGACAAATTCCTAGAAGCAAAGTGTTTTCTTCATTTAGCTTTCCCATTTGTGAGACTGCATATCCCATCTTTACTCAATTCCCAATTCATTATATAAAAATTATTTTTAGATAGAGTCAAAATTTCTCTGGTTGTAGCTTGTGTCCATTGTTCTTGTCCTTTCACTATACACCTCTAACAAGAGTCTGGCTCTGGCTTCTCCGCACCCTCCCAGTACTTACAGACAGCAATGAGTCTGCACAGCACCCTCCCCCTTTCCAAATCATCTCATCTTAAGACTGAACAAGCCCAGCTCCCTCAGCCTCCCCTCGTACATCACGGGCTCCAAGGCCCTGGCCATCTTGGTGGGCCTCCACTGGGCTCGCCCCAGTGAGCTGCTCTCTCTCTCCTCTCCTGGGAAGTCCCAAACTGGACACAGAACTCCAGATGCGATCTCACAAGTGCCAAACAATCACTCCTCCTGACCTGCTGGCCATGCCCTTGCTAAAGCAGCCCAAGATGCAGTTGGCCTTCTCCACCACAAAGGCACCCACCAGGACCCCCAACCTCCTTTTCTGTACAGCTGCTTTCTAGCTATTTGGTACCTAGCCTGTACTCTTGCATGAGACTATTCTTTCTCAGAGGCAGGACCTCATGTTTGCCTTTGCCTAACTTCTTGAGTTCTGTATCAGCCCTTTTCTCCAGCATGTTGAGGTCCCACTGAATATCATCCTTGTCCCACCTTCCTGTGCACTGACTACTTCCCCACATTTGATAACATCCATGAATTTGCTGAGAATCCCATCACTCAGGTTATTAAAACACAAAATAACACTGACCCCAGTATCACCTCATGGGGGATGACACTAGTTACTAGGCAGCAGTTGGACTGCATAGCAGTTATTCCAGCTTTGAGCCCATCAATCCAACCAATCTTCCACCCATCTTATCGTCCGTTTATCCAGTCCATATCTCACAGATTTGACTACAATGCTATGACTGGAGACTGTGCCAAAAGCCTGGCTGAAGTCAAGGTATACATCATCCACTGCTCTCCCCTAATCCACACAGCCAGTCATCTTATCGGAGTTGGCAATCGGATTGGTCAGGCATGATTTGTCCTTGGTGAATCCATACTAGCTGTTCCCAGTCACCTTCTAGTCCTTCATGTGTTTAGAAATGCCTTCCACAATTTGCTATATAATTTTTTCAGGGACAGAGGTGAGGCTGACTGGCCTGTGGTTCCCTGGATCTTTCTTGAAGATGATATTTGCCTGAAGGTGGTATTTGTCTGTTTCCAACCATCAGAAACCACCCCTAGTCATCGTGATCTTTTGCTAATGACAGAGGGCAGCCGCCTTTTCCATGTCCTCCACCCCATTAAGCAGTGGGTCAACATTTTCTTCAGCCTTGTTTTTGCTACGGATACACTTAACAAGCCCTTCATATGCCTCATTAGTGTCAATTCGAGATGAGTTTTTGGTTTCCTAACTCCATCGCCACATGCTCTGGCAATGTTTCTATATTCCTACTGGGTAGCTCACCCCTGCTTCCACTGTTAGCTTTCTTTTTGTGTATGAGCTCAGTCAGGAACTCCCTCTTCATCCATGCAGGCCTTCTGCCATGCTTGCTCAACCTGCTGCACATCAGAATGGACTGTTCTTGGGCTTTTAGAAAACTGTCCTTGAAGATCAACCAGCTGGGCTCCTTAAGCCGGCAGGACAGTTTTGATCGTCCCTTGGCCTCCTCTTGCCAGACTCAAAAGACTTAGCTCCTTGAAACTCTCCTCAAAGGTCTTGTTTTCTAGGCCCCTGAACTAGCTCCCTGCTGGACTCTCTCTGGTTTCTCCACATCTCTTGAAGAAGTGAGGGTGGAAGACTCCCCAGACATGACACAGCATACCAGATGCAGCACCACCAAGCAAAGGGGGGAAAATACCTTCCCCTGATCTGCCAGCTGCAGTTTTGCTAACATAGTCCAGTACATGGTTGACTTTATTCCCAACAGGAGAACACTGTTAGCTTATACCCCGTCTCATGTCCACCTCCAAGTCATTTTCAGCAATGCTGCTGCTCAACCAGTCAGTTCTCGGCCTGTACCAATGTATGGGGTGATTAAATAATTCCTTCTTTTTCAGAAATAGAGCCTAAGTGTCCAGATTTTTTGCACATATTTGAATTTTAAAAAATTATTTCCAATTAGCAAAAATAAGAAATACAGTCAACAGAAAGTGTAGAGAAGTTTAGGTAATTTCCACTCGACAGTATTAAAAATATAACAATATTAGCCACTGGTAAGTTACTTCAAAGAATTCTCATGTTGCAGAAATAAAAATGTGAAAGTTGCAAAATAACACATTTATGACTGACTTAAATTCTCCTTTCTGTGGCAGAATTCTAATATTAAGTTAGGTAAAACATTTCACACAAGCTTTTTCATGAACAGTCATTGATTACTCATCTTGATACACATGGTAGGATTGCTCATCTGATTTTCAGTGTTTTAAATATGCCTGCAGTACAAGTCAATGAGATCCTGGCTTTGAATGTATAAATTGATAGACTGTTGTAAGCATGTTGCTAAACTCAATCCTGGCTACCTCATCTGCAGAAAATAAGTTCCTTCCTTCCCTTTGTGCTATAATACAGGAATTATCTGCCCTAAAGATACACAAATCAGCCCTTTGCATCAAGGTCACACTGAAGAACGCTTTCTTGAAATTTTAATATGAACAAAATAATGGGTTTTTTTGTGTAGTTCCTTAATTTGTGGAAGCAGCAGAGCTATTTCCCCAACAATTTTCCAGAAGGAATTAGCTGGACAGACGCATGTGATATTAAGATTTCATTCCAAATACTTATGCTTAAACACAGCTGCAATCAACAGAAAACAAAATCTGACCATGAAAAAAGTCAGGCAACTTTAACAAATATTACCAGCAAGGTCTATAATACAGATGTCTCTTTTTGCAAGTTCTGGCCTTCCTACAATATTCCAACTCTGGAAAGGAACAAAATATTAAAATGGAAGAGTAGAAGAAGCAGTGCTGTCCCTCATCTCATTTTGCTGAGATCATGAGACTCTCAAATTTCAAATTTTTTAATCTGCTGTCTTGTGGCTGGAAAAACCTGCAGAATTCCGAGACTTGGGCAACTGCTCCTAATGCAAAATAATACTGATAGGCAAATTTGTGTCACTGCACCTCACGTCCTTTCTCTTTCGAAAGAGAAGCTGAGAGTAAAGCTCCTCTGTCACGTTATACAACTCAGAAACTGGATATGTAATGCAAATCCAACTTCTGTAGATACTGGACAGCTGGCAAAAAGGGTGTTGAGAGGGAAAATATATAAAATGAGACTGCTTTATTATTTTATTTTTATTTTTTTTACCTTGGAACCAGTAAGACCAGGTATGCCAGGAGCACCTACTAAGCCAGCTTCCCCCTGAAACAAAACGTACATAGCCATCATTTTACAGACCTAACTCATGACTGAGCTAAATTAAGAGAAAAAAGAAACATCTGGACATGTATTGCTTCTCATTCCTTTTCTACAGAACAGCTGAATTGATTTCTAGGGTTGTTTATGTCTGTTGACTTATATTTGGTTAAAATACATTTCACTTTCAAAATATTAGGCAATTAACAATTACAGGTTATCTAATTATGAAGCAGATATATCTGTAGATTGCTTCAGACAACTGGATGACAAAAAAGATTACAGATTTTGGATCACATGAAAATCTTTCTCAAGTTTTATTTCAGGCCCTGATTCAGAAAAAAAATACTTTGAAGACATTTGCATACTACCCAAGTACCTAAAATCCCAACAAGGGTGCCACAGCTTCCACTCTCTCCCTCACACCTATTAGGTGCTTCAGCCCACAGGGATCTACACTTAAACTGTTAGGTCCCACAGGGAGTTTTACATACGAAGCAGACTGCTGGTTTCTAGGCTCTGCTCAGTCAAAGGGGAGTTTCAGATCTTTTCCCCATCTCTAGGGGAGTGCCTAACCTACCCAGCAGGAGGAAATGCAAATCTTGATCCTGTGCAACCAGGCAGACAAAAATACGTTTCTCCTACTTCCTAAGTGAATGTTCTGTACGTGTTGTTAAATTACTGCCTCCTCTACCCCATGTTTTAAAAGAGCAAAATAAGTCAGCTGTACATTTGACCGTTAGTCACCCCCTGCCCCCCAAATTACTTTCTCCTTGCACTGCCCATGAAAATTAAGAATGTGATTTGGGTTTGTAAGTTCTATTCAAGAAACTGGATGCTTTAAAGCTATGCTCAGTAACTGAGCATAAGTACAAACAAGCACCATGTTCATAAAAAATGTTTTTAAAAGGTAACTACCCAAGCTGAGTAACATGGTAAACTTCATCTTCAATATCGCAATAAGCTAATAACTAGTGTTGGGCAAAAGAAAAAAAAAAAAAAAAATCAAATCAATAGCTCTGAGTTGAAAGCTACAGACAATTCAATTCTGCATTTAATATTGGGCTTTCCAAGGAAGAGGTATAGTTAAAAACCTAGTACTATCTCATTTAGAATTAAAATATGAAATATTGCAGCTGTTTCCTTTTCCATTCCTTCTTAGCAAAGCTTGTTAAAAAATTACAGACGTAGTGAGAACCAGGCTCTGCCACTGAAAGCTAACAACCACCCTCCATTTACAGATTCATGAAATATGCCACTGTGAAGTACATTAATTTTGGTCTCAATAAATCTAAAGTTACTGAGCGAAGTTCTGTTAGAAGAATTCACCCGTGCTCATATGACTTCAAGCGGGAGCTTAGAAGACCTATTAAAGGAATCTAAAATCAAATGCCTTCTCCATTCCATTCATGGGTCTTAATTCCTTGACAGAAGTTTGCCCTAGTAACTCGCACGCCATTCAATTCAGTTTTCTAGCCAAGCCAGAATTTAGCAACAAAAGAAAGTTTTGAAAGTTCACTCATTTGATTCCAAGCCAAGCAGAAGACAAATGCCTCACAGACGCAAAAAAAGAACAAAGGAAAAACTCCAATCTCTCTTAACAACAGAAAGACACAATAAAAGAACAATTACTCATCAAAATGATACAAGTAATTAAGCAAATAAATACGAAGCACTCATGATATACAACAATTAAAATACAGCTTAAAATAGCTTGTTAAAATGGCATTTTTCTAACACCACTCATGGCACAGTTTCCAACATCTTCCTTCCAGCTCCCCTCTGTAAAAATAGATGCTAGCGTGCTGGGGGAAAATTCTAATTAATCATTACAAGTAATCCTTAGTCCTTCATTTTCTCCAGATTTACAACATGAATTCAGAAAAATTCTTCATAGTCTAATAGTTACCAAATAATAATATTTCATCTTCTCTGCTATATTGGATAACCGTAAACTATGAAAAAAAACCAACTCCATTCACTGTTTTTTTTTTTTTTTTGTGGAGACAAGCCAGACATGTTTTGTCATGCACTGTTTAATCAGTGTTCTACAAATGATTATTCCTTGAACACATCAATGCAAAAATAAACTCCTACATCAATGCTAATTCTTATTAAATCCAAAATGATTAACATTGTGGTTGCTTTAACTATTTCGGAAACATGCAGTGTATTTATAATCAGGATTCTTAATGTATTTATCATTTATTGATTTTGCAGTTTGTAATTGCACTGCAACACCCTATAAAATTAGGGATTCACTTTACAGAGAAAGGTTTTCAACACAGAGTAAGATGCTTGATATATGTACTTCACAACTTTCTTAGAATGCATTTACATTAATTTGTATACCTTGACTTCCACATTTAGCTATTTTTCTCCCTAAATAAGATATTTTCACATTAAAAAAGATTTAAAAAAACAAGAGAGACTATCTTAACATATAAGTATGTGAACTTTATTCAGTGCATTGGTTACTTGTACTACCAAACAATACAGTGCCAAAAATGAATTAGGTATCACATTAACTAATCATAAAATAAGAGTTGAGAGAAACTTGTATCAATCACTTAGAATGTGTTTTGCTATTTAGAACATTTTAGTCATTAACACATTTTATAATGGCAAACATACTGGAACTTCATGAGATTCTCTTCAAGACTGGAAAAGAGAAACAATTGCTGTAAAATATTTTAAACGTTTTGCAGATATGATTCTACAAAATTAAAAAAACAAAACAAAACAAAACAAAAAACAAGAAGCAGTCAGATGCTTCTCCGTCCTCAATGTGAAGAACAAACATTTTTCCTTTTATTTTTAAATTTACTGGGGCACTGCCAGGAGCTTGATTTACAGAATAGACTTGGTACTCCAGGGTTACTAGCAAGGAAACTCATCTTAACAGAAGTAAAATCAGTGCGGTCAAACACTACTTACTGTTTTGATAATTTATGGATATGTGCCTTCCATCACCCTGAGTATGCCAGACCCTTGGAATAATCTAATAGCCTAGTGTTTTAAAATGAGGACAACTATTTTTAGCGTTGCAGAAATGGAGTGGAATGTTCAACAACGTACTGTCAGAGGGCTCGGCAGCATCCTCCCTGTGGAGCATGTACCAAGCCAGACCAGAGCCACCAGCCCCATTGTCTCATTTAACAAACAAAAATCCCACACCAATTATACTCCATTACGTGACACCTTTCTTAGCCTACTGGAATATTGCCTTGTTTCTTTAAACAGGCTCTTGTTAATGGTTAGGATCACCTGATAGAATATTAATTACATAAAAGTGCATTCAGCTGATATTTACTAAGGCTTACCCCATGAATCTCCTGGATTAGTCATGTCAGGAAGTTTCTGCTAAACGTTATGACATTTTGGTTTCACTGCATCTGCTGATCCTTTTGTTCCCACTTGGTTACTGCTGAACTACCAGTACGCAGCACTTGCTGGGCCTCAAAGGCCCAAATCAGTGCTACCCTTGATGCAAACTTGACCCATGTGAGCAAGCATAAGATCCTCCCTTAAAATAACCTGATGACGACAGGGCTTGGGACAGGAAAACAATTTGTTTCCTTTGCTCTGTCCTGCTTCCACAGCAGCCCCAGCAGAGCAGGTATGCCATGGTTCACCCAAGGCGGTGAGGGCTGGTCAGAGGTCTCTTGTATCCTCGTGATTGAGGCTCCTGTTGCTTATTTATGTAGCTGCTCAAGAGAAGGGAAAATGAGAACAGCCCTACTAGAAAGACATCATCTGAGCTCAGAAGGCATCCATTTTTCCTCATTCCTAACCCTTCCTGATATCCATTTTTGGGACAAGTGACTTGCCTATCCGTTCAGGCACCTAGAAGTTAATACGCTCCAGATTAGATGACGCTTGAAAATTTAGGTTTCAGTGCTTTGCAAGTGACCTAATGAATCAGCAGCCAGAGGCAGCTCAGAGCTTCAGAGAACATGGTCACAGGGCTCCTTACTCCAGACTGCACTCTCTTTAGTTGGCATTGCTTCCTTTTTCACTATTAGCATGTCTTAAAAAGCATGCAACTCCCACAATTTGTATAATCAAATACATAAAGGACACGTATTTTACAAATAAATTGCATAGGTTAAAAGTTTGTTTCTATATTTTGCTCCCCAAAATTACTTTAATTCAACATGAAAAGTCAGAGATGTTGTTCTGAAAAACCTGAGAACAAAGGATCACTCCATTTATTTTCATGCAGAACTATACGCCTGCACATTTTCTTTTTTTTCCTATAGAAAACTGATAACGAACTGACTGAAGCCTTTATGATAGATATCAAGGAGTGGTTTTTATACCATCAACAAAAGTATCAGCAGAAGCAGAGCCTCTGCTGTCAGTGGGCGTTCTTTCTGCTTTTGGCAAATACAAGTGGTATTCACTGCTATCCCACGTCCTTGAAGAAATGACAACTGCCTCCTTCTTGACCTTCTTCATCAGGGAGTGACTCCTCAGCCCAGGAGGCACGCTTCCAGTCACCACTCTTAAATGCCACCAGTTTCAAACAGAACAGAACTGGACTGCAAGAAATTAAACAGCAAATAGAAGAGAAAAATGAAGGCAGAATGTATTATCAGCACATAAGCAGGGCCTCGGGTAGTTTATGTTTAGTTTCCAGTTGTGCTGCAGAGTTGTGTGTAACCTATAACAGGTGATTTACACCTCTTTCTCCTCCTCTCCCTCCTACGATATGTTTTTAAGAGGAAACTCCTTAGCATCTGTGGAGCCCTCAGGGGCTGTAATGATGGAGCTTTACAAGGAAGGGGAAAGTTCTAGGCAGCGCGGAAGAGCAGCGGAACAGGACAGCTTCCCCTCATTTTGTCTCACTGTGTCCTGAAGAGCTTTTACAATTTTTTGTTTCTCTGCTTTTCAGACTGCATCAAATGACCCAACTACCACCTTTTTTTAATGGCCCACCACCCAGTTACATTCCTTAGTAAGATGGGTAAGAAGTACACCATACTTTACTACTGATAGAAGTG